GGGGAGGGCAGAGGGAGGGAGGCCGGGGAGGGCAGAGAGAGGGAGGCCGGGGAGGGCAGAGGGAGGGAGGCCGGGGAGGGCAGAGAGAGGGAGGCTGGGGAGGGCAGAGGGAGGGAGGACGGGAGGGCAGAGGGAGGCCGGGAGAGGCGGAATGGCCAGCACCAGCACACAGCCACACAGCAAGAGCGCGTTCTAGTCTTCAGGTGCGGCTACAGCTCATATGCTCTACTGAAACGCTAGAAGTGAAGCCAGGCACGGTGGTGCCTGTCAGTAATCCCAGCACCCAGCAGGCAGAGGGTCACTGCGAGTTCAAGGCCAGCCTGCACTATACAGTGAGACTGCCTCAAAAAACAAAACTAAAACAGAACCTGAAGAAACAAAAGGAGAAGCTTGAATCTTCCCAACAGAGCACTAGAAATGTCTGAGGAGAGGGGACTGTTTACCCTGATGTGACCTTGCATGGGCACCAGGGGACAGCCCAGCGGCATGAGCGCCTGCCTGGCATCCACAGTCCAAAGAAACCCTCCACATAGTAGACATTTACGGAATTGTCACACCATACTCCATAAATATGCATGTTATATGTCAACTTTTTAAAAAATGATTAATTGGTTAAATATTATAATGTAGACTTTCATTTTTCTTGAGTAAACAAACATGACATTTATAAGCAAGAATATGATTGGACATTGAAGTTACTGAGGAGTTATTGTGAATGTTCATGCAGTTATGTTTGTTTTTTAAGAGAGGTGTTGGTGGATGTAGCTCCATGGTAAAGCACCTGCGTGGTCCAGGGCCTCAGGTGGCATCCTCGACATAGAGACCTAGTTACTGATGGAGTCCTGGTACCCGAGCGCCTGTACATAGCCCTGGGGGCTGGGATGATTCCCAGTTGTTGAATTTGAGAGTCATGGTTGGTCATCGAATTCTGTTCTGTTCCTGTGCGTGTCCTCATCTCCACAAACAGCTTTAAGACATGTCTATGATTTTTGCATTGTTCTCGTATAGTTATTAAAAATAAAAAGGAATGAGTACCTCCATGCCAAAAAAAAAAAAAAAATCTTATGTGCAGCGCTGTCTGTCCAACTGTATGCTGCTGCCAACATCCGAACCCAGGCTGAGCATTTCTGCATGGATTATCTCACTTCGGTCTCCGAATAACCCCGCGAGGTCAGGTGCTATTTTCCCCGATTTTAGATAAGGCAGACTGGCCGTATCTTTCATCGCAGCCTCCTGGGGAGGCGTTGGTGCAGCCGAGACATCCGGGCCAGCAGCCCGCGCAGCCACTGTGCGCCGCTTCCAGCGCTTTCCAACCTCTGGACTACGGCTTCCTTGCTGGTGCAAGGGGAATGAGGAGGCAGCCCCAGATTTTGGGCCAACACATGTTTACCCAGGCAGGTGCTGGGCTGCGTAGTGGGGGAGGGGAGATGGGGCCCCCATCCCCCCACCTGGCCCATACTGTGGTTCCTGATGCCTGGGGCACCCACTCAGTCCTGTGCTTGCAAACTTGGCTCGAGCCTGTCCTCCGTCATCTGAGTCCCCACCGTGGCCAGCACTTCCTGCCTGAAGGCCCACAGAGGCCTCCGCCGGCCTCCTTCTTCTCTGCGGCCCTGCAGTCAGGCCTGCGCACAGCCAGCTCAGGCCCCTGCCGGTGTGGTGTCCCTTGCTGCTCCTCACAGAATCAAGCGCAAACTCGCTCCCGTGGTTTCCAGAGTCAAGCCTGCAGCACCTGCTGCCGCCTGCGCATCGGTCTCTCGACACCCTCAAAGGTCCAGCTTCTCCCCGCTCTGCAGTCTCGTCTGCTCGGAGGCCTCTACGGAGGCCACTTCTCGGTTCCGAGAACATCACGAGCAGCACTTAGCAAGCGATTTCCCACAGTCGCCCTTGCTCGTGCTGCGCGAGCCCTTAACTGCTTGCGTCAGAAGGGGAACCAGCGAGATTCGGTGGCTCCCTGGTCAGCTGCCCCTGCTGCTGTGCGCCGGGGCCTGACCTTGTTCTCGGAGGAGGCCAGCTCAGAGGGCCCGAGCGCAGGTCCGGGAGCAGGCCGCCGCCACCCTAATTCTGGCTCTGCCTCCCAGCTGGGAGCTCAGGACTGCCTTGGGCTTGTCTGCCCCTCTCTTCCCTGTCTGCTATGGTAACCCCAGGGTGCCAGTGGCCACACAGCAGCCATGCTCTGGGGTCCTGGGAGGGTCAGATGCCTGGCATACTGTGACAGTAGAGGAATCCCAGGTGGCTGCTCACTCTACTTCCAGGCTCGGCACACAGGACGCAGACACTCGGTAAATACTTGGCGAATAAACTATAACGTGACAAAGATGTCGCAGAGATAAGCAGGGAGGGCTGATACCTAGGCCTGCCAGGGTGGGAGGGGAGGTCTAGGCAGGACTTCAAGAGGTACAAGAGACAGGGAAGGCCGGAGGAGAGGGCGAGGAGAGGGGCTCACTGGCGGCGCAGCACAGGCAGAGCCGCGGGTAGCACCTCCAGTCTATATGGGGCAAGACCAGGGCTGGGGCCACAGGGAAGAACGCGGCAGCGCAAGCCAGCGCAGCCAGGTACTCTGTGAAGGCAGAGCCCTCACCGCGGCTGTGGGGACCCGGTTCCAAGGTCAGCCTCGGGCAGATGTGGCTGGGAGCAGGAGCTGGGGGGCGTGGCCAGCTGCCCACCACAGGGCTGCGTGCACGCTCCCCGCCCATCACTGTGCCAGCGCTTTGCGCTCCCCCCAGCAGCCCCGCCCGCTCTGGCTGCTTCCTCCCGAGCCAGGATTCTTTCCTGGACAGGGCTGGGCCTCAGGCAGCAGCTCCAGGAGTTAGCAGGTGCACTGCGGGTGTCTGAGGAGCCCTAGGCAGGAGGGTCACTGGAGACCAGGCCGACTGCGCCACACACTGAGCGATCCTAACCCCCATTAAAAAAAAAACAAAACAAAAACTGGAGCGTGCAGCGGGCTGGCAGGACACTGCTGACAACAGCAGCAGCAGCAATGTGTGGCCCAGAAGCCACCGGGGACGCACCCCTGAGCAGCTGGCTGCACCCTGAAGCAGCGACGATAAGAAGGACAATAAAGCTCGTAGATGTTCAGGGCTTGCTTTCTAAGTACCGTTCTCCAGTGGGAGGGCCCACAGCTCCCTGGCAAAGGGGCTGCTGCTGCTGCTAATGATGACCGCGACCATGATGATGATGACAACGGTAGGCGTGTCAAAGGGACTCAGGAGCTACCTGGAAGAGCCTCTAGTGGCCAGAGCTGGAAGGACTCAGGAAAGTAAGTAATGAGGCGCTACATTACTCCTCAAGTACGCACGAGCCCACGCTGGTTCCTTACAGAGATACCCAGAAGGTCTCCATCCTCTCTCTGGGAGATCATTCGAGCTTAATCCAGCCCCGCCAGCCTCTGCGCTGCTGCACAGCCGGGCTCGGCATGCCACTTCCAAAGCGTGGTGCTGGCAGAGGACAGCAGTTCCTTGGTGGAGAAGTTGGGCCGACCAGGCAGAGCGGGCTCACCTCCTGGGCGGCGTCGCACGGCCAACACGTGCCCTGCGTGATGACATCAGGAAGAGGCTGCTCGCCTCCCCCGGGGTGTTCCACCCCTGACCACCAAGCTCCGGTGAAAGAAAGCAAATCCGCCCCAGTGGAGGGCTTTCTCCAACACACTGACCAGTGCACCACAGCCGTCAAGGTCACTGCAAACAAGGATGCCTGAGAAACTGTCCCCCACAGTAGGGTCACATGACAGCTAACAGCAACCTGCTCTCCAGAGCGGAATCCTGGAGCACAGAGATCCCTGGGACAGGCTGATCACATCTGAAGGCAGCAGCTTGTTTTCCCTGCAGCCGCGCGCCAATGTCACCACCTTGGGTTTGTTTTTGAGACACGGTCTCACTATTTAGCTCAGGCTGGCCTCGAGCTCACAACGATCCTCCTGCCTCAGCCTCCCTGAGTGCTGGAATCGCTGGGATTCCAGGCATGTGCCGCCACACTAAGCTACTATCTTAGTCTTGACTAAGGTTACGTGACAGAGGGAACCACATGAGGGGCCTAAGGGGACACTGTACTGTGTTTGCGGCTTTTCTGTAACCCTAAAATGAGTCCACACTAAACAGCTATTTCACAAAACGTCTTTACAGCCTGTGAGCTCTGCTCTCTGGGCACCACAGGTGGGCCACACTTTCCTAATACCAAGCCTTTACACGGGTGGACACGGCGTCCGCAGCCCAGGGCGGGGGAAGGCAGAGACCCGGTCCTGCTCGGGGCCAGGGCTAGCGTGGGAAGGCAGGGGAGAGTCAGGCTGCCTTTCATGCCACCAGGGCTGGCTCAGAACGTGGGGAGGCCGGAGAAGATGGCCGATCTCGCTCACTGGCCTCCTCTTTCTCTCTGTTTCTCCTTTTGTCCCCCCCCCCCCCGTGGTACAGGGGCTGAATCCAGGACCTTCACACCCAGCTCCATCCCCAGCCCTTTTCTCATTTTTCATCAAGACAAGAATCTCACTAAGTCATTAAGTTGCCCAGGCTGGACTTGAACCTGCATCCTCCTGCTTCAGCCTCCCAGAGTAGACACTGGTTTCAGAGGCCAGAAAATGTAGAGGGGCTGAAGCTGGGGGCCCACCCTGACTTCCTCTCTGGTTCCACACTGGCCCCTTCTGCCCCCTTGAGTGCAAAGGCAGGAGACCCGTGGGGGGGGGGCGTGCTCACAGCCAGGCCACCTTGTGTGTGGTGCATGCACGGCTCACCCTGCCCGGCTGGCCGAGCCTGGGCCAGCCATATCAGGCCCACAGATTGCTTGGTCCTCTCTTCTTCCTGTCCTGCACCCGAGTCCCAGGTGCAGAAGCTCCTCGGTGGCTGGGAGGGGCCGAGCAGGGAGGGGCACGCAAGGGGGGCAAGGGCTCTCACCGGTAGCTGCAGGGCTCTGTCCCAAACAGGCAGGCCAGGATCATGTGCTCGGCTGGGTAGCCCATCTCCACCAGCTGCTGGTGTGGCACCTGGGAGAAGATGTTGGTGGCCTGCAGGACGTACCACTCGGTCACGGCCCGGGTGGCGCTGGTGAAGTTCCGGAAGGTGCACACGGTCCCGTTGAGGCTGCACTGCAGGGGCAAAGGGGCTCCCGTGGGCACAGGCCTCTGCGCGCCCTAGTCGCTGGTCCAAGGGATCCCACAGGGCTAGCTGGCGTGGTTCCCGGCTCACTGCCCCGGGGCCGCACCTCGGCAGTGAGAGCGTGGTCGAGCCCCGTACTCACCCACGCCCCGGGGCCATGGCATGGCATGGAGTTGCCTGGGGCCACGAGGACTTCTGTGCAGTCACCAGCCCCCGCCTCGTGTGTGCCATTATGCAGTAGGCACAGGGCACGGGCACGGACGCGCATCCACCGCCACACGAGGGCATGTCACTGAGTGCGCAGATCCCTACGAGCCTCCAACACCGAACTATGTGGTGTTTCCTCTACTGAAGAGGGAGTCTCGCTTCGCTGCCCAGGCTGGCTTGAACTCCTGAGCGCAGGCAGTCCTCCTGCCTCAGCTTCCTGAATAGCTGGGACTACCACCACCTGCTATTCCGTAAACCTAGACTGGCGCAAGTGGCCTACACTCTGATGTCATGGACACACACACACACACACACACACACACACACAGCACCTCCTGGCTCCCTGGCTCCCTCCCAAACCCCTGCCCCTTGTGCCAGAGGCCAACCTTGCCCGCAGCTCCCAGATCACGTGACTTGGCACTGGCCAATCAGGGGAGCCCATCCTCTAGCCGGCTGTGGTTGGTTCAGCAGGGAGAACGTGACCTGGTGAGTGCCCCAGGCCCTTTGCTGAGGCTACGGAGAAAGAGGGGCTCTCTGGGGAGATGGCAGCGCTGGCGAAGTGCAAGGCTACCGAGAGGCTTTTGTGTAGAGAGAGCCCCAGAGAGTAACAGCAACCATTAGAGAAGCTGAGAGAGGCGAAGAGAAGGCCCCGGGGACAACGCTGAGAGAGGCGAAGAGAAGGCCCCGGGGACAACGCTGGATGCCTGGATCCAGACGCGCCTGGACCCCGCTGATCTCTGGACTTGATGGTTCTGGAAGCCAAAGAATTCTCAGCTTCGCATTAGTGAATCTGAGCTAAATCAGCTGCGTCCAGGAAGCTTGCTGACACGCGAGCTACTCGCACCCTCACGAACTTTGCAAATGGAAAACGGCAAGCGAGCACCGGCTTCCCCCAGCGAGATTCGAGTCCTGAAGACAGGAGACCCTCTTGGGCCAGTGCAAGGGCCCGTCGCGCGGTGCACTTACCAATCTCATGGCCAGTTTGTACCCGGGGGCGTTGCCGGCCCTGGCTGGCGCTGCACTGCTGCCTGCCGAGGCGTTGTGGTTGTCCCCAAAGAGGTCCAGGACCACCGGGTGCTGCGGGTCCCGCTCGTCAATGAGCACCAGGGGCGTGTGGTTCCAGAGGGTAAAGTTCAGCGCACCCGTGGTGTTGGCGAGGGTGGGCTCGGGGGCCAGGATCCTATCCAGGACCACCTGCATCAGCTCATCCAGGTCCTTCAGCAGGGGTTTGGCTTTGGAATACCTAGGCAGGTGGAGAGGTTAGGGAGGTGGGCAGGGGGGAGGGTAGGGAGGTGGGCAGGGGGAGGGTAGGGAGGGGGCAGGGAGAGTAGGGAGGTGGACGGGGAGGGTAGGGAGGGGCCAAGGGGAGGGTAGGGAGGTGGGCAGGGCGAGGGTAGGGAGGTGGGCAGGCGGAGAGGTTAGGGAGGTGGGCAGGGGGAGGTTAGGGTGTTGGGCAGGGAGGGTTAGGGAGGTAGGCAGAGGGGAGGCAAGGGAGGTGGGCAGGGGAGGTTAGGGAGGGAGCAGGGGAGGTTAGGGAGGTGTGTGTGGGGAAGTTAGGGAGGTAGGCAGGGGAAGGTTAGGGAGGTGGGGGAGGTTAGGGAGGTGGGCAGGTGGAGAGGTTGGGGAGGTGGATAGGGGGAGGGTAGGGTGTTGAGGGAGATTAGGGAGGTGGGCAGGGGGAGGTTAGGGAGGGGGC